CAGCAGTTGGTTGATTTTGGAGTTGCCTATCCTAGATGGGTTGATGTTCCCAGCTAGCGAGCCTCATCTGCCCGAGGATTCGAACTCCGGACTTGTGGAGTTAGCAATCCTGACAAGGGGTAGATAACACAGTGTGAGTGTATGATGAAAGCACTCCGCTTACATTATGGATCATCAACTTTAAACTTGCAAATTGTTGATAAAAGGAAAATTCAATGGGCGAGTTATGAAGTAAGCGTACATGTTTTATACCAGAAAATTTCATGGCCAAGTTTTGAAGTACATGCTTTATAATAGAAAACACATGGCCAATTTGAGAAGTAAGCCTACATGTTTGATATAGAAAACTTCATAGCCAAGTTGGGAAATAAGCTTACACATTTTATAGTAGAAAAATTGTACCGGCGAATTTTGGAAAGATAACAAGTCTTGTCATTGTAACGACTTCCAATCTATATTACCTGACCTTTAAAAGCCTGTACTTTCCCTTTCTATATTATACTAATATAACCATTTTATAATTCGTACAATTCTTGGACAAAAGACTATTTCAGTACTTCCGCGGAGTACGTTTCACATCAATGCATAATCAGTATCACTGCTATAAATACTTCTTTCGAAATTGATTTTGAATTTCAAAAAAGGCATTTAAATTTGATACAATAAAACTCCTAAAATGGCTTCATCAAAAACGAAAGCTCTAAAAAATTTACGCTTCAGTGAGTATGAAAAGATATGGGTTATGATTCACCCATTGTTTATACACTGGGTACGTGACGTCATTTCCAGTCGAAATCCTATTTCTCACAGCGGTCTGAGTTTAAATTTCGCTACATTTAACACTATTATTCGTGTATTTTTTTCGTATGATATATTCATAACTCTATACAAAAAATATATGTTTGTTCTTTAAAGGTGTGACCAATGATAGGATAGTGTGGTCAATAGATGGAAAATGGTGTGATGTTTTTTCCTTTGAGTGTTGTAAAAGATGTGATTTGTTTATAGGTTGGTGAGTGTGGGTACATTTTGAGTGGTTGATGTCTAAAATTAAATTACTTCAGTTCATTGTCACTAAGAAGTCAGACGAGACGACCCATATTTTAAACTTGTTCTAATATTGTATAATGGTACACATCGTGAAATGGAAGTCTGCAAAAATAAAATAAAAAGCTGAAGCTCCAGAGTTAAATACCAGAAGTTCTTATTGTTTTCTTTCGTTATTTAAAATTTAAAACTTAAAAGCTAGCAAGAAAAAATACTAGTGAAGGCACGTTTCTAATTCTTTTTTTACGCTGTATTGTATTGTTGGTGTTCTTGTAAATACTGCATTAACCTCTCTTACTTCATCAACCTATGCCTATTTCATGTGGTTGTATTTCTTTTTCGTGTGACGGTGTGGTCGAACAGTAGAGCGAACAACTGCTAACCAGAGAGTCTCGAGTTCGGATACCGGGCCCGTCCCTTAATCAACGGTGATGGGCATCTGACTTTTAAGAAAAGGTCTTTGGGTATAATACTGACTATACTCACACTTTATATGCCGAGGGCATAGAAACAAGTAAACTCTACTTCCTCTACCCCACTGAACGTCAGATCTCAATAATGTTCTATACTTTAAAAATAGATTTGGTAAATGTTATTAAAATGTAGTTTCCCTTTCTGGCTTAGGTTCAATAGGGGAGATAAATAAGACGGTATTGTTTCTTAGATAGCATTACAGGGTTGACGCTACTGCGCCGCTGAATAAATCGTGTGCATACTATTTGGAAGTGGTACACGATGTTCTATGTACAGATAGCTAATTGGCATCAAACTGAATTAACACTAAACGTCGGCTATACACTGTTACCGTTAGTGGAAAAAAAATTACACCAGCAAGAAAATAGCATTTTACAGTCCCCCACCCCTAGCCTCTCCCCCCCCCCCCCTCCTCTCAACCTTTCACAACAACGTTTTTTTTCTTCTCGCTACCAAAAAAAATAATATTATTCATAACCAAATTATTTTTTTTCGTAATTGCCAAAGCGGAATCTTCAACCGAAACGATACTCAACATTTCAGTGTTAATTAAAATCGATTCCATTACGCCGCTGAGCCCTATTATGTGAAAGTCGTGCGTATCGATACGTTCGTTGTAGCGTACGTGCGTATCGATACCGTCATAATGCGATGTGTCGGTAGAATCATTGTCGGGGGGACGAGACTAATTGACACGACGGAAACCGGTTTAAATACGCGTGTACCTATTAAGTGGGACTGTCGGGGAATAGGGGAAAAAGAAACTGGGTGATTGTGTATGTGACACCGTAGCAAAACCCGCTCTTTTTCTTTTTCTCTTATTTTTTATCTCTTTTTTTTATCTTTCTCACTCTATTTTTTTCTCTCTATATCTTTCTCTCTCTCTATATATATATATATTACTCTCTGTATCTTTTTCTCTCAAAACTTTATGTCTATTTTGCTATTTATTTCTCTTTTTCACTCCACCTCTCTCTATCTCTCTCTCTCTCTATCTCTCTCTCTATCGTTCTTTCTCTCCATCATCTTATTATTTCTTTTTCACTATCTCCCCTTCTCTTTCTCTCTCTCTCTCTCGCTTTCTTTTATCTTTCTCTCTATTTTTATCTCTTTCTCTCTCTATATTATTCTCTCTCTCTTTCCTCTTTTCTATCACTTTCTCCCCACCCCCCCCCCCAACCTAATCCAAAAACAACCCTTAAACCTCACAGTAAGGGAAGGGAAGTAATAATAGTTGTCGTTTTTTTTGGTAACTCATATTTAAGACTTACCCCCCCCCCCCCTCCCTCCCCAAACTATTCAATTTTTTTTTTTGGAGTCAACAATTTAAGATCCCGATACTCAATTAATAGAACTTGCCAATTGACATCTTAATAGGCCAATCACCCCCATCACAGATAAATAATCCCATCAAAGATTAATAACTCAAGATGAAACACAAAGACCAATAACCCCCACCATAGGCGAATAAAAAAAAACCAACATCAGCGTATAGCCTAAAGATGTCCACTATTTCAGCCCACTTTTACTAAAATAGGGTCGGCAGAAAAATACTTTAAGTTGAGCAATCTGCTAATGTAACTTTGTGTGTCAGGGTGTTAAAATGTTGTGTTTTTATGACGCCAAATGTGTTAACATAAAAAATTGAGTAGTGTCTTTTAACGCAACGTGCTGTTAACATATCTCCCTCAATTCCCCGTCCCCCCGTCCCCCATGTCTAACATCTCTCTCTTTCTCTGGGTCTCGAGTTCTCTGACTTTAAATTTCGCGATCTTACTTTATAACAATTTGCAAATAATTAAATATAATCAAGCCCTCGCAAAAACCATAACCCATTGTATTAGGTTTTACCACGATATCACTAGCAGATGCCTACCATACAATTATTGAAAACTCGAGTTACCATAGGATACACCAGAGACTTCATTAGACACTAACTTCAACTCACAATACAAAATAATTTTTAACTCGGATGTTTTTATAATCCTTTCAGTCACTATATTAAAAATGTCTTTGTGGGTGTTTTTAATTTTACTCCCAGTCGCGTCAAAACAAATTCGTACACTCAAATAACAACATTCATAATGTTTCGAACACTTGACTAATAACTACCCTAACACAATGGATCTTAGCCGGGGTTCGGTCGAACCTCATGGATTCAGTGAGTCAGTCTCAGGGGTTCGGCGTAAGGGCAAGACACACGATCGGATTTTGTCAGTGCTGATGGTAGAAGAAGTGGGAAGGGTCTGGTGAAAGCGCATGTGAAACTGGTTGGGTTCGGTACCTCCAAAAGGGTTAAGATCCGCTGCCCTAACCCTAAACATAAAAGTCATGAACTCGATGTTTTTAGTCAAACACTAACAGTTAACTCCGTCATTTATAATAGACACATTAACATAAGTTGTGTGTGGCAAAAAAGGAATAATTCTTTTACATAGCTTTTGAAACATGAAATATGGAACACCTAGATCTATATGCGGCCGTTAAAACAAGTTCAGAGCACAAAGTGGGTTAAAAATCTTATATCAGGGGTCAAGTTTCTACCTTACTAAAAGAAATCTATAGGATATTTTTAAAAATTTAAATAATAGGGAATCGTACGTGGGATGGCGTTGTAGCAGCCCATGACTGCTACATCGAAAGTTCGGATCCCGGTCTTTAGTCCGTAGAACGTCTTCGAGTCACGTTATGGGAGGTAAAGATGGCTGGGCATAGAGAAGACCACTTTATTCCTCCATTTGCTCATATCAATGGAATAGATAGACTCTACATAAAATCACAATAACAACAATAGTGTCATATTTGGGTACGTCAGTTGGCCACAGAAATAGGTTTAGTATAGCCTGATAGAAAATAATGGGTGAGGGGCTAACCAGGCAGCTATACGAGGCCCCCAAAGTTTATGGATACCACGCATTTTAAGATGCATGTTGTCTTGTTGCTATAACAATAACTAAAGAGACATTATGAAATCTTTATATGTTGATGTCCTGAATAGAAAAGAGTGTGTTCCCATTTTGCTTATATTGTTAGCACATCACGAGGAAAAGTCGTAACCCCTTTGAAATAAATTTTATGCCACGAAGAATAAAACATTTTGTCTGAGATATTTTGTCCATATTGATTTGTCCTATTATATTTATCCTTAGAACGTGTGTCTATGATACGTTTTGTCTGCGATGTTTTGTATGAGATAATTTCTCCATGATATTTTTTAAAATTATATTTTGTCTGAGATCATTTGTCATGGAACCAATTAAATACTCTTGTGTTTTGTTTTGAGTATTTAGTTGGGTTTTTTTTTGTCGTGTTGTACTATATTCTATAGAATCATGTAGTTAGAAATTGTGTTCGTGAGTGCTTTAAACTAGGGAACAATCGACGATTCGACAAATGTCTGTCACTCTAAAATATTTTATAATCTATAACTTTATTAAGACTGTTTATTAACGCCTGATTATTTTTTCTTATCGTTGCAGTGTCCACACCCTCGCTAGATCTGTTTCCGGTAACAGCCAAAATCTCCCCGCCAACAAAGCAGCAGATCCTGGTATTCCAAACCTGACCTCAGAAAACTCAGCAGATAAAAGGTTCATCGATTCCATTTCGGGGGACGTTTTCAAGAAAAGTTTGGACAAAAAGTTCATCGATTCAATATCCGGTGATGTTTTCAAGAAAAGCTTAGACAAAAAGTTCATCGACTCCATTTCGGGGGATGTTTTCAAGAAAAGTTTAGACAAAAAGTTCATCGACTCTATTTCTGGGGATATTTTCAAGAAAAGTTTAGACAAAAAGTTCATTGATTCGATTTCCGGTGATGTTTTCAGAAAGAGCTCAGACAAAAGATTTATAGATTCCATATCAGGTGATGTTTTCAAAAAACGCTCAGAAAAAAGGTTCATTGATTCTATATCTGGGGACGTCTTTAGAAAACGTTTCTTAGGATCATGGCCTGACGTGTATGGCCCAAGTCGGGCCGGCCCCATGGGTCAAGCTGGTTCCCCGGAGTCTGATATGGACGCCAACAATAACGACTATGCAAGTGCAGAATCCGGCATAGCTAGCGGAAGTAGCTCACACGATTACGATTACTTGACCGATACTACCGGAAATCGCCCGGTGGAAAGTAGCGAGGCTGGGGAGTATCCGAACCAACACCCTAGAGTATCGACGAAAAATGTCAAAGTTTTCAAGTTCAACGATTCCTTCAACAAGAACATTCCACGATCACAAATAAAATACATGGATCACAAAAGAATACTTGACGACGTTGGGAGTTCTTTACTGAAACGACAGTTGGATGACTTGGGAAGTTCTTTGTTAAAAAGAGAAGACAAGCGCAATCTAGATGACTTAGGAAGTTCGTTATTAAAACGAAATTTAGATGACTTAGGCAGTTCATTGTTAAAACGCGAAGACAAACGCTATTTAGATGACTTAGGCAGTTCTTTAATAAAAAGGGAAGACAAACGCTATTTAGATGACTTAGGCAGTTCATTGATAAAAAGGGAAGACAAACGCTATCTAGATGACTTAGGAAGTTCTTTGATTAAAAGAGAAGACAAACGCTATTTAGATGACTTAGGCAGTTCTTTAATAAAAAGGGAAGATAAACGCTATTTAGATGACTTAGGCAGTTCATTGATAAAAAGGGAAGACAAACGCTATTTAGATGACTTAGGCAGTTCATTGATAAAAAGGGAAGACAAACGCTATCTAGATGACTTAGGCAGCTCTTTAATAAAGAGAGAAGACAAACGCTACTTAGATGACTTAGGCAGTTCTTTAATAAAAAGGGAAGACAAACGCTACTTAGATGACTTAGGCAGTTCATTGATAAAAAGGGAAGACAAACGCTACTTAGATGACTTAGGCAGCTCTTTAATAAAAAGGGAAGACAAACGCTACTTAGATGACTTAGGCAGCTCTTTAATAAAAAGGGAAGACAAACGCTACTTAGATGACTTAGGCAGTTCATTGATAAAAAGGGAAGACAAACGCTACTTAGATGACTTAGGCAGTTCATTAATAAAAAGGGAAGACAAACGCTACTTAGATGACTTAGGCAGTTCATTGATAAAAAGGGAAGACAAACGCTACTTAGATGACTTAGGCAGCTCTTTGCTTAAACGAGACGATAAACGCAATCTAGATGACTTGGGAAGTTCATTGTTAAAACGACATTTAGATGACTTGGGCAGCTCTCTGATAAAAAGAGAAGACAAACGCTACCTAGATGACTTAGGGAGCTCTTTGATCAAGAAAAACACATACGAAACAACATACGGAAAACAAACAGTGAACAATCAACATCATGGTGCTCAAACACATTACGCGAAGTCACCAAAATCTGCACACTCTCCCGAACTGGAGCTCACCTCCTTACACAAACCAAAACCCAACTCAGACTCTTTCAGCCATCTTGAAAACAGCCACGCCCCCGGCGCTGCAGACGGCGGCCATGTTAACCCAGATAAAAGGCATCTGGACGATCTTGGAAGTTCCTTAATTAAAAAACGCAACGCCGGAGAAGATGGAAAAAACAACCAGAAACGGGCTCATGAGGTGACAGATGACATCCTGAACGGTTCAGTCAGTCCTGGGAAGATGACATCTGGCATGACATCTGGCGTGACATCGGCACACAAGGACAAAGCCGGTAAGTGTGAGCAGCCTTTGACGTGATGACGTGACACACACGTGACAGAAACGTGATCATGTTATGAAGGACATGACTGCGTTGATAGGCAGTGTTGTTGATGTGGAGATATTATTGATATAAAAATTTTGAGTCGTTGTGGTGACACCAAATAAAGAAAAAGAAGGTGTTTATTACCAGGCAGCTTAGCCTGTCAAAAAGAAACTCTTGTAGGTAATTAACCAAGTTTGTCAGGGGGTGACAGTTGTATAAAACCTTAAGTAAGACGAAATGATGGATATTGATGACATAATGTTAAGCGGACCACAATTTAAGATATAATTTCTTTTTTTTTTTTAAATTATTTTAATTGGTGTTCTATTATTAGGCCATTTTTAGTACATATCTCATTTTAACACGTTTTTATTAACTCAGCTTCGCGTGTGTTTGTTGTTAAAATTGACATCGAAAATTAACCCACTTCTGATTGCTCAATAGATCTGAAATTTGGCATGTAGGCTACTTTCGCCTAACAATTTCAGATGCAATCATAAAAACTAGCAATTAGAGACGGTAATTAGCTTAATTTAATTACGCCCCAAGGACCATAAAATTGAGGACATGATTTCTAAAGATACCGACAAGACTGGAGGCTTATAGACACAGTTACTTCGGCCCCAATCGATGTGAGCGCGCTGGCCGTGATCGTATAGTGGTTAGTACTTCGCGTTGTGGCCGCGACAACCCAGGTTCGAATCCTGGTCGCTCAAGATTTTTTTAGTCCGTGTATTTATAAACACTTAGTCAATTCATACTTAATCAAGTCATTAGATAAAGTAGAAAATAAACTATATAAAAAACTTTTTTAAAAACCACGTTTTTCATGTGTAGCAACGGACTAAAAAGGAGAAAATAAAATACTTAAAAAAAACTTTTTAAAAAACCACGTTTTTCTTGTGGACTAAAAAGTAGAAAATAACTATTTACATACATTTGATGACAAAAAACGTGGGTCGGGCAGATGGGTCGGGAAATTTGATGGTGAACGTACCCACGTTTTTTGTCATCAAATGTATGTAAATAGTTATTTTCTACTTTTTAGTCCACAAGAAAAACGTGGTTTTTTAAAAAGTTTTTTTTAAGTATTTTATTTTCTATTTTTTTCCTTTTTATTTTAGTACTTTTTTTTCAACTGTTCGTTCGGTCACTATTTAATTTTTTTTTTTTTTTACATTGTAGTGAGTGTGTTTTACATCATATTTCAGTAGTTCTTCACATTTTAGCTATAAAAAGATGCCAATTCGAGATGAGGGTAGAAGACTCTTTCCCACCCCCTCCACATATTCTGCAGATCCGTGGCTATGGCGCCCCAGCCAGCCACCCCCCCCCCCCAAACCTGCAGATCAGCGATTAGGCTGGTCCCTCTAAACTCATATCCCCACACTTCATCGCGTGCTCTACCGCTAGATTCCCACTCCAATCAAAATAATTATCAACCGATAAATGACACGAGCATGCGCTGTGCTGTACATCCGGTGGGCGTTTGGCCAATCGCTTTTGCGGAGATACCGGTTTAAAAGTTAAAAAAAAAAATCTTTTAACGCATCCTTTTAAAATTACATTTTCTATTTTAAAAACAAAAGACGCCATGTTGAAGAAATTCGAGCATTGCCTAAAAATTAAGGTAAAATTTGTATTGATCGAATATAATCCTGTTTTATGCAATTATCTTCCTTCGTCAAAATAACCACACGATGATATTGGAAGAAAATAATATAATAATATCCACTTTTTAGGCTCCTGTAAAATGTGATTCTATTTCAAACAAATATTTAATAACAATTTAAAAGTTTGATTTTTTAAAACTAATGCTAAAAGATATAATTTTTTTCAAGCTCATTGTTCAATTTTAAAATGAGAATTTTAAAAGTCGTAATTAGTTAATGAAACAGAAAAACACAGTAGCATTACTTTAATTTTAAAATAAAACATCAAAAATATGTTTATAAATTACAAGAAATTTTAAGACAAACATTTAAGACATGCACTTATCTGCACTATCTTACATGGACTTGTTCTACGCTCGGGAACAGAAGTTAGAGTTTACCTTAGCAAAGTTGATATTTATCTACATAGCTGAAAATGTCAAAGTGTTTACGTTGAAGCTAGCGTTCTCTATTCTACCATCTCTAACCTAAACCTACACATTGTAAGTTACATCACAACATCATTTCAAAATTTTCTAACATGGAGTCCGAAGAAATTATACGATGTAAACTTTTGATTTACCCAAAACATGTTGTTTAAGCTACTGGTCATAAAGCTAACAATTAGTCTCGGTCAGCAAAACACTTTATAAGATACTAGGCGATCATGTTATCCGATGGAAAACGATCTTATGGAGAAACGAACACATAAATCAATTTTTAGGTTTATTTCTTGTGAAAATTGATTTCAAAATTTATTTATAAAAATAATAAATTACTCCAAACCAGTGCTGAACATCTGCAGTTTTACTGTGGGAACTAAGTTTAAAACAATTATCAGAATGATCAAAATGATAATTCATTATTAATTAAAAATTATGGCATACACTAATTTTAAAATCGGATGCTATTCTTAATAACTGCAGCTCTTCTAAAGCTTTGTCTATTTCTGATGGGCTAACCTCTGTGAATGTGTGCTTGAGTGTTTTATCTAAACCACGATGATGTTTAGGAATTAAAATGAAGATATTGGAAAATGAATGTGCATGGTTCTCACCTTGTCTCACACATTTTGACTTAGTATATCATCACAATGCGTTTTGTTGTTAGCAATACAATAAAGACTAAATTCATAACACTTACAGCTAGATTATAATTTAAAATTACAACAACGATTGAAATCATTATTACTTGTATTTAGATAATATGCATTATAACTTATTGAATCACTTCATTAGCATTAAGCTGCATAAATGCAACCACTAATAATTCGTTTCTAATAGCTTCTTCAATATATATATATATATATATATATATATATATATATATATATATATATATATATATATATATATATATATATATTAAAATTAAAAACTATATACTGTAGTTGGTCGACACAAATCTATGGAAAAAAACAATAATGTGATATTTAACGATATATCAACAATGGATATCAAAATTATCAATTATTTCATCGTGATTCTTTGCACAGTAACGAACGACACAATACCCTACTTGTTACATTGGCGGTTTAGTTGGAGTAATAAGCAGAAATTATCCTGGTAGCTTTGTGCTTGTAACAGTATCAGGCTGCCACAGTTAGTACAGATGTGAAATCACCAGTTTTCTTTTCCTTGCTGCGTTGTGGCTATTACCTAAGCTTGAAAATCCTTATTTTTGTAAAATTGTAAACCACATAATCTATAACGTATAACTGTAAATGCTGGATCTGTTTTAATTAATGTTTTTAAAAGCCAAATTAATTTCTATTCGTTTTTTTTAGAACTATAATTCTTGGTACCATTAAATTTTAATGTAAAAATAAAACTACGCTTTCTGGTTAAAGAAAAGAATCTAAATCGAAATAATTATGTTTGCTTTTTTTTACGTTAAATTATTTTCAATTAAAAAAAAAAAGAAATGTATTCTTTTCATACACAATTTTATTAATTACATAATAATAAAATTGCATTTTCTTTTCATAAAATTATTATTGACGATGAATCAGTTTGTTTTGTTTTGAAATTGATTTTTAGATTCGTTTTTTTCCTTCCTTATTTAAATATTTTTATATTTTACGATAATAAAGTTTTAAAAATATTTTTTTAAAAATAATTTCTAAAACAAATTATTACAGGTCCAGCTGCTTTACAGTAACTGCAAGGGAGGGTGAATGTCAAGGTTGTTTAAGTAACACGGATACAGATAGAAATGAGAGCTAGTAAACACTCAGAAGGTTAAGTAGAGAGACTCGTTATGGAGGACAATCAGTGCCGGTGCCTTGTGATAGTGAACATTTTGTGTGAGGGCAGAGAAAAGGCATTTCTGATGGGCAGTGAAGGAAATTCTTTTTTAATTTATTTATTTTGAGAAGACTTTGTTATTTTGAAGACTTGGTCGTCAAGCTATACTAATAAACTTGTGAATTAAAAAGTTTTGAGAGTTTCTTAACTGGCCGTTTGTAAAGTATAATGTGTCGACTTTCAGTTTTGTACTTCTGTTGTTGTATAATGTTGTTTAGTGTGCGTGTCACCATGCTTGCTTTTTGAAAAAATATGAAACTATTACATTTCAAAATCAGTAATAAAAAGTAAAATTGCAATTATTTTTACATCGCTCATACTACTTACTTAAAAAAAAGACATTCAATGTAGATCAAGCTGAATAGAATATTATTGTTGGTGAAATATTTATTAAAGTATTTTTGATTAAAAAACTCCAATGTCCAACCCTACAAAAAGACTCACAGCAGAAAAAAAAACATTTAAGAAAATAGATCAGTTAAAATTTAAATACGTATCATCATTTTAAACTATCGATTTTTTTAAAACAATGGCATGAAAATTGGCATTAATAAAACCTTAAGATTAATTTCGTGTGCTTACCCTGCCAATTTTAATTTAGCTAAAGTTCCTACCTATCCCGTTTGCAGCATTTAAAGAAATGTAAATGATAGCTCATTTTTTTTAATAACAAGTTATTGTAATGCAATAGGCAGCGTTGGAAATCTTGAATGCTCATGCTAATTGAGCAACGGAGAGATTAAAAAAAAAACCTATTTGCGTTAAGTAAAATTTTTATTAGTTTAGGGACCCGGAGTTAAACGGGTTAAATAAAATATAGTTAGAAATATATATATATATATATATATATATATATATATATATATATATATATACAGTACTTAAATGGAGTACTTAAAATGTAACGAAAGCTAACTAAGTAAAGTGTAGTATAAAATAATTAGTAAATAAAGTAAATAAAATAATTAATGATTGTTTTGATAGCTTTTATTCATGGATAAAAAAACATGGCCATTCGTTTTCCCTAGCATCAGGAATGTAAACTAGATTAGAAGTAATGGAACAGGTTAAATAGACAAAGGGGTGGTAATGTGAATGGTAAAAATAATGAAGCTGTGATTCAACTAATTATTTTTAATTAATTACACTTTCCGGGTATGAAATCCGAAAGGTGATTTTAGAAAGATGAATTCAAGTTGGTTGGATTTATCAAGGGGGTGATTTAAAACATTTAAATCTGCTAGGACATAACTTGTAATTTAGGTTGTGTATACCAACGTTGAGTAAAGGGTAGGGCAAAGTTCAATACCCGAGGAGGCACCCTTCAAAGAAAAAATATGTTTGTTTATGCAATGAAATAATTTTAAATTTAAATACTTTTTCCAGTGTAATTCATTTTTAGTCAAATGAATTAGATTTTGAAATTAAGCATGCAAATTATAGTATTGATTCATTACGCTTTTATTGCTTAATTTTTACTCATGCATTATCAGTTTGCCTCAATGTGAGCATTGTTATCATTGCGGATTTCTGAACAAACATATAAAAAAGCAATATCCGCGACAACAAAGAAACCATCTTGCCCTATTTTTAAAACTAAGCACAATCACGTGATAATCCCTCTCTACCTTGACGCCATCGAGTGACGCTTACGTACTTTAAAATGCCATCTATTTTCATTTTTAAACCACTCTGTTTTTTTTTCTTCAATAACTCTTTTCTCTTTCCAACCACTGCTATTCAAATGGTATTCAATAAAACAAGTTATCTCAACAGCAACTAAAAATGTTCAATCCCAAAAACAAAAACCATATCACAAATCCAGCTCAAAGACCCTTTTCAACTGCGCACGTCCTAGAGATCGCCGCCTCATTAAGTATTGAATCCTAATTAATGTCATGCATTGTGCAGCAATCGTAATTTTGTTTTTTTGGTGTTTAATGGACCTCTGATTTTGGAGTTTATTTCTGAGATTTTAATTAAAATATTAATTATTTAATTATGACGAGGTTAAGAGAATGTATAAGCGCCAAATTTGCTAAAAGATGACATGGTGAGTTGTATCCCTTGTATTAAATGTGTATATGATGGGGGATAACTCTGTTCGGTCAAAAGAAAATAGCACGTAACCTCAAATACATGTGTTGTTGTTTTTTTTTAAATTTTAAACACAACCTTTTAAAACTTTCAAAACTAAATTTTTATTTGTAGTTCAATTCTAAAAGATTTCCAGAGATTTATTTTCGATTTGGCAAACTATTGTTGAGTAATTTTTGTAAAAATAATAATATTTACACATGAGAAAATACCACAAAACTACAATATTTGCCGAACACTTAAGTGAGATGCAAAAAAAAAATGGTTTGACAAAAATAAATAACAAACACACTACCACACATCAAATCCCTGTATAGGTTTACATAAATATATAAATAATTTAAAAACAAAAAAAAATGAAAATAAAATAATACGAATTAGCGTGTGTGTGTGTGTGTGTGTGAGAGAGAGAGAGAGAGAGAGAGAGAAAGAGAGAGAGAGAGAGAGATACTGAGAAAGCTTGTATGTATCTATGTATACAAAGAAGTGAAAACAAAGGCACATCGCGCAACTTGCGGCGTGCAGGAATTCCCGATATCCAACCATTATCAGATATGCCATTGAATCGCTTAAGTCTTGCGATAGTCACCAGTTCTAGAACTTGAACATTGAACAATCCTACCCTTGACAACCTAGTATAACTACACATGATATTGGAATTTTGAACATGCAATATTTTTGTTACAACATGTATAGCAACAAACGTACAGTAAACAAGTAGAGATGTCATCAGAAGAGACTTGATTGGCTGGGATTCGATAGAACAATTCTACATTGGAATCTAATCTCTCTGCCCTTAAGCCTAGAACGAGACGCGTAACTTCTTTGAGCAAGAGACTATAAAAAACACAAAGACTATTTCTGACCTGACACTTTCGCGAACACCCCCTCACACACACACACCCGTCCACCCTCCACACGCACATGCCCCACATTGTATCATAGCAAAACTCCTGAAAATACTTAGAAAGTGCTTTTATCTTACGTAAAGATAAATTACACAGCATCTTCTTTTTCATTGCTTTTTCGTCCAAGGGATAAAGTAAATTATCTTTTTCATTCACACACACACACATATATATATATTGTACATATATATATATATATATATATATATATATATATATATATATATATATATATATATATTATTTACACACCCATATATATATATATATATATATATATATATATATATATATATATATATATATATATATATATATATATATATATATATATATATATATATATATATATATATATATATATATATATATATATATATATATATATATATATATATATGTGTGTGTGTGTGTGTGTGTGTGTGTGTACATTATATATATATATATATATATATATATATATATATATATATATATATATATATATATATATATATATAATTATGTACATTGACGCCTACTTCTTACATCTGAAAGTAGTAAATTACACTATTGCCTTCCACGTTGCGAGGTCTATATAATTGCTTCATCAAAAACGGATTATCCCTTACTGAAACAACTCCATGATATATAATTAAACACAACAGAGAGCTGCACAATTAGTCAAAATGAACCTAATCGATGGGTGATATAATTGACAAGTCTTGCTATTATTTCAACCCAATAACGGTATACATACCAGGTATATACTTAAAAGGTATACCCTCAAACCAGTGTTTATCCATAAACAAAAATGTTCAGAGGTGGAGACCAATCGATGAAAATTTTGATGTTCTGCAACTTTAGATTTCTACCAGTGAGCTGTTCAAATTGTTATATGATAAAAGTAATCTCTTCACCACATCCCATAATGATACAAGTTGATTGTTTCAACCTATACCCATATTATACCAGTTGATTTTTCAACCTTGACCCATGTAAAAACAGTGACCTTTTAACCTTATCACATATCAGAAAAGGGATTTTTTTCGCTTAGACACTTTGATAACTGACGTTTTAAACCTTTACCAATATGGTTAGAGACCTGCTCTTTATGACCCATATGGTAAGAAACCTGCTAATTATGGCCCATTTGATAACAGAGACCTGCTTATCTTGAGCCATATGATAACAGTGAAAGTGTGTAATGCTCCCCATCCAGATTTCATGAAAATGTGTTGTCACATATAAATGTTCAGTTCGAAAGTTCGAGTCCTTGATATGATCCTGAGCCAATCCAGCTCTAATGAGTACCCGACTGGAGTCGGGGAAATAAAAGCAGCATGATATAGTACATACCATACCATTCCTTCATAGGCCGAGATAACATTAAAAAATAAACTACATCAATTAGCAAAGTGACTGTCAGCAATGGTACTCTAGTGCGGATTCGAACTCTCAACTGTAATAGCTCAATGCAAATCGACCCGACAATTATGATGCCAACACGGTATTTGGTAAATTAGAAAATAGAAAATTTGTTTTGGCTTGAAATCAAAGGCAGTCACCGCCCCAGCGTAAAATTGTCACTTAGAAATAGATTTGTCTATTCGCGTGGCTTACGTCTTGTGGGTAGTCATTAACTAGTTGCACGGAGCGGGCGCGATAATGTTCATAGATTTGAACGCTTGCGACTCGTGCGGAAAGGCCAGAGGGTAGGCGTCGACTTCGATAAGCGGTGAGCAAATGTTAAAGTTTGTTGGGTTAGGTCTAGGCAGTGGCGTCACTAGGTGGGGGGAGGGGGTGTCACCCGGTAAGGTAACTGAGGATTTCACCTCCCCCCCTAACCTTAAAATTTTGCATTTTTTTCGGTTTAGTGTCACCCCTCCAGCGTACTATTTTACTTTGTTAATTATATAATATATTGTTGAGATGATAAATAAATGATTTATAGTTTGGTGTCACTTTCTTTTTTATGTCCCCCCTCCCCGCTTGTTACGATGCTGGTATAGGGTGGATGAGTGTGGATGAGAACGGTAATTGTTTAAATATAAGTGGGCTTTGCTTTTGGTTGTGCGTGTGGTTATTGATGGGCTTAGAATAGATGAGGGCGTATAGAGAAAAGGGGCTTAGAGTGTTGATTGGTTTTAGTTAGGGGTTTATTTAGGATGGTAATTTGATTTTCAAGTGGGCTTGGTCGGTACGTCAGTATAGGTGAGCTTAGAATATATAAATGATTGCATGTGAACTTAAATTATGTAAGTGGTTGCAGGTGAAATTTGAGTTTGTGAATGATTACATGTGAACTTATAGTATGTAATTGGTTACAGGTTAACTTAGAATATGTGAATGATTACACGTGGGCTTATAGTGTGTGAATAATTACAGATGAACTTAGTCTGTATGAATGATTACATGTTGGCTTATATAGAGTTAATGACTATAGGTGTGCTTAAAGGGGGTAAGTGATTATAGGTGTGCTCTATTGGTGAGTTCTAAAGGTGGGTGTCTGGATGAGTTATTATATATTTGTTTTAAAATGTTTCACTTTTTTCCTCGCAATTAATGAATACGACGTGCTCATACAAAAGAGCGAAATCAGAAACTTCCTTGCATAAAACACTTCAGAGCCGTAATCTACGCTAATATTTATCTATTCCGGATACTGTTTTCTGGTATCTGTAGCTTTAAAGTAATTAGTAAAAATTGAGTATAAAGTCTTCACTTTAAACATGCTTTAAATCAATTACTTATTCTTCAAAAAAATTATAAGTGAATTCGATCAGCGGGTGTTCGTCAATATGTATCTATTGTAGACAAACTTTCATTTCCATTTTCAAAGTCATAACAACGATTTTTAAATTCAAACATTTTTAAAATTCGTTTTCATCTAATAAATTAAATTTTTAATTTACACATATTTTGAGATTACAATTTTAATTTGTTTCAAAAATGTTTTTTTCCCAATTTTTAGCTTCCAGAGATTCCCAGAACGACCAACTTTCTCGGAAGCGTCGTGACGTCACTGTCCTAGCATTTGGTCGCCCACGGATAAACTCACGTCCTAAACGGCTCGCAGCTTCCATCGGTCACATCACTATCGGCAGTGGACCAGGTCGTCGTTACACTACCCCAGCACGTCACGTCAGCGATGCCAGAATTCCATACCTCCGTGACGTCACATCCGGATCTGACGACAACCAGAACGCCAACACCATCCTGGGCCGCGACGCCCAGGTGGTGCTGCGTGAGCTGGAGGATGTGTACTCACGGTACTCACGAGACCCGGAAGTCTCAGAAATAGCGTCAGAGGTCTTCAGCACCGGGGGAGTCTTCAAGGACCAGGAGATCAGCGATGCCCTCACGGCAGGGTTACACAGAGAGTACCTGCGGAGTCTGGGGGAGCTGATAGAGAGGAGCCTGCAAGATCAGGTGGACAAGAGGAGAGAGACGCTGGGAGCTGGGGAGACAGGGAGGGCAGGAGGAATGCCGACTCTAGGGACGTGGAGCGATTCTCCCGTTGACCGAGAGGACGCTGTATTTCTCGGACGTACGGTCAATTATAACAGAGATTTTAATGGTAAGTCCACTGATAATGGGAGGTATAGTCTGTCTCTGAAGTCAGCTAAGTAGGGGAACTATAATATTTTTAGTAAGGTCTTTGGTAACATCTAGTTCAAGGCTTGGGACAGCGGTGTCTGTCTTATGATAAAAAGATTATTGAATAAGTACTTTGTTTGTCTCAAGGTTGGCAACCCCCCCCCCCCCCCTCCCACAAAGATCCACATGCATTTTTTAACTTAATTGCGATTCATTTTTTTTTTAAAATTAAAATTGAAAAGTTTTAACCAGGAAAAAAAAAGTATACATCTATGTATTTAATTTTGTTCACATTAGAAGTAAAGCCTATCTGAATTATTTAAAACTTTGATTGCGCCGAAGTACTTCGGAATAATTATTCTTTTAGGCTTATCATTTTTTCATTCGACTTGTACTCATTTCACAATTTATTTTCATTGACATCCATATAAATTTTATATTTTTGTTTTCTTTTTTATTACATCCATATAATTTCAAGATTTCAAAAAATAAATCATGCTACATTTCTTTCTGCAGATGGACGTCAGAAAAAACAATCTCTGGTACCACCTTCAAACGATGCTCAGATACAGGAGGAACTGATAGCCGTACACAGGCCCGTCATCTACAAAACACAGCCCGACCAGCAGCCAATCAGATTCACTCAGCTCCACAAGCAGCCAATCGTGTTCAAGCAACTTCATACCCAGCCAATGGGGCTCAAGCAATTCCGTAAACAGCCAATGGTATTTAAGCACCAGCAACCAATGGTGTTCAAACAGCTTCACGCTCAGCCAATGAGGTTTAATCAGCGACACAGACAGCCAATGAAATTTGAGGATCCTAGCGGGAAGGAGCTGAAAGAATTGAATGAAATTTTGAACAGAATGGTCTCAATATAGTCTGTTTCCATCCCGTTAAGAAAAATGTGTTCCTTAATGTCCGTAGTACCATCTATTACCTACATTTTAAATAGAACAAAAATAAACTAAAATCACTACAAAATAAGTTAAAAGTTTCAAATTTTAAAGTAATCGACTAAACATAGAAATTCAGTTGTTTATTTTTTTTAAATAATTGCGCTACGTCTAATAATCGCACTATTAATTGTGTATAATTAATAAACAGTACTCGAATTAAAATTTGACTTTTTCTATTTAAGTAGGCTATATGATGTATAAAATATTACTTATTTAAAATATTTTCTTAAAATAATCTTTTCTTTTTATACATCTATTTTTACTTTCAAACGCGTTGCCTTGTTCTTCAATACTTTATATTCAGAAAATTACTACTAATCAAGATTTAATATAATATAGTAATTAATAAATAATTTAGGGTAATTACCTTCCTAATTGCACTAATATCGCCATTTTTAGAGTAATCGCTTTAACATCTTGAGATGAAAAATCTTACTTTTACATGTTAAACAATTGTATCGTGCGTCAACATGTATCTGCACTCGTTTTTTTTTATTTTTATTTTTCACTTAATATTTTTGAAAATAAAGTAATAATAACAGTTCAGAAGCTTCAGCTACGTTCTGTTGGTTTTTTTTTTAATTCGTAAAAACACAAGAACTTTAATCCTTATTTTGTATTTGTATAAAATATCCCATCTAAGTGGGTAAAAATAAAGCTTATTTCTCACAACGCAATGTGTGCAGATTTACTTAGATAAATATGTCAATTTGGTCTAGCATACTAACAAAATCTGGGTGACACCATTTTTTTTTCTCAAAGACAAATTATTGACACTGACAAAATTACAGGTTGCTTGCGATGTCGTTGCGTACTTCTGATCGAAGCAATATTTTTTTTTTGCATTACCATTATCCCACATTTTGAAGAGAGTGTTATTACATCTAATATTAATAACTGGATTTTTATCCAGAAATTAAATATAAAAGCTTGTGCGAAAAAAAATGGATGTTTAATTTCTCCATTATCCTTCAATGATTTAATTTTACCTGAGGTAAAAATTTTAAAAGCGGGAGTGATCTCCCCTAAACTTTCTCGAATATTCTTATATAACACTACTGGGGATGGCAACTCGGGATATAGACATTATTGTTAATCCATTTTTAACTGCTTAAAATTTTTAAAATAGAATAGAATTTCCTAGAAAAAAAAAAGAATTGCGCACTAAGTGAACAGCAAGCAATGAGCGTATGATGGTACGGAACAATAGTATGCGTTCATATGCATTTTTGAAGAAATGTAAAGTTCCAATTCCGGTCAGCAGAAATAACTGAAAAGATTAAACAGAACTACACATTTCATATAACACCTATATATGAAATTTCATCAACCTAGTTATAATGATACTCGTGCCATCGTGTTCACAGATACACACACACACATACACACACAGACATACGGACTAAATTGCAAAAATACTTCCTCTATACTTCGTATCAGAGGCGTAGCGAGAGCGGGACGGGTAGTGCGGGCCGCACCAGGTGACACCATTTAGTGTGGTGACACCAATGCATAAAAATAGACAAATTTTCAGAACAAAAATGCTTTTTTGCCTGTCCCATTAGTAAATTTAGTAATATATATATATATATATATATATATATATATATATATATATATATATATATATATATATATATATATATATATATATATATATACTTTGTTTCTGGTGGGGGTGACACCACGAAGTGCCGCACCGGGTGACACCCGACCTAGCGACGTCACTGCTTCGTATGCGAGAAAGTAAAAACAAATATTCTCGATCTGTGATATAGACTAGATGGCGCGCGACCTAGTTTTCTACGTGCGTTGTTTTTTTTTTCTTCTTTATTGGTGAATCGTCGTTTTAAATAGCTTAAACAGTCAGAATGACGTCATTATTATATCTTTAGCAGTAAAAATGTATCTCGCCAACATAACCGCAAACAGCATAAACAGTTCATAAAATCGGGATACTTTTATTTTTAGACCAGCATGAACAATTAAAAAAATGATTATTTAAAATAGAAAAAGCCAATGATCAATACAATAAAAATGTATCAGTCAAAAATAAATAGTTGATATAGTTATAGCCTAAATCTTTAGTCACTGGGGTCCTGTGAAAAACTAGTGTTTCTTCCAGACTTTTTTCTCCGGGGAGGGGACTAAAATTTCCTTCGGGGGGAAGGGGGGAATTGTTAAAAGTATATATTTACTATTTAAACTCAATCTCGTTCGGATGGGGGTGGGGCGGTAGACTGTCTTCGGGTGGGGGGGGGGGGATGGAGCCCGCCGAGGAGATGCCTGGAAGAAACTCTGTGAAAAACCAACACAACGTGCAGCGTCTCCAACAACAGTGTCCCCCACCAACACGACCTAGGCAAATAAAGTGGGGCTGGTTAAACGTCCAGCCAACTTTATTTTCCTTAACGTGAATTAGATATTCTTCAAAGCGGCGTGGACTCGGGGACGTACAACGTACTTAACCCTTTATCTACTGACGGTACTTATAAGTACCACTTTAATTAAGTGCCTGTATAATTTTTAATTTAATACGAATTTTAAAAATTATTGATGTAATTAATAGTATTATCTCCCCTGAGTAGCCGGTAGTTGGAGGGATCGATGTACTTTGAATGATTTTTGGTATGGCGCCAATTTCAATGTCTTGCTGTATCGGTAGTTTACAATTGTTCTGTAACGTTCTCACACACGTTCCTGGTTTCCTTTTGTTTTACCTTATTCTTGAAGTTTTCATCCCCAAATATTTTTTATTGGCATCTCCAATAGTCAGGCAAACGTGTTTAACTTCTAGTTATACAATTTTAATCAAATTGTCTTTGTATTAGATCGATGTTTACAAGTGGACTTATAAGTACCGTCAGGGCACACGGACATTTTTTAGGATTTTTAGGAAATGGCAGATTTTCGATGTGGAGTGACATAAATATTATTTTGATAATTAATTATCGAAATGTACTCAAAAAATGATATTTACACATTTATAAGAAGGTTAGCATATGGTTTACCTAAGAAATATTATAATTAGATGTTGACTTCTAGTAGTAAAAGAATAACAAGAATAAAGGTAGCAGTTGCAGGCTCGTTTACTAGGTTTAGTATACTTTATTTGTATACCAAAGCCTAGTTCTAGTAGTAAGTTTTAATTTGTTAGTTATTTTTACTGCAATAAACTGTCTTGCATACAATAACTAGTATTTACGTAATGTATATCTGTAGACTAGTAATAGTCGATACTTCTGCATATAGTATAGATCTCTATGGTAAATTTTAATCCGTAACCAGGAAACAGTAGGCCACTTCGGCTATCCTAAACACATTGAGCTCACTCCTATTTATGAACTTTACACTGTAGTGTAGACTTGTCATAACATTCTAGTAGGCTACAATTATACTAGTATTACTAGTAGTTGTGTACTGAATGACTAGGCTTTTGTTTGTTTATGCGGCTCATTGTAAGTAATAGCTATTGGAAGCTTCCAGCAAAAGCATGTTCAGTGCGGCAACCGTTGCTACACCAGAATGACCACAGAGAAGAATGAGGGAGCATGACATGTCGGCAACTTTTGCTGTGTTTGAAGTCTAAGATGTGTTCCGATAGAAAATCCAATAAAATCGTACTCAAAATATACTTTTGTGCTGTATTTATGTATGAAAATTACAAAAAATGACGGTTATAATGATTGCCATGTTATTAGTTAATAAATTGTATCGTTTGTTCCTGTTTTGTAAAAAAAATTTTTTTTTGAAAAAATGTCCTACATTCCTGACGGTACTTATAAGTACCAATATCTGTTTGGGCCATTAAAAATTTATGAAACGAAATTTCCTTCGACATATGCTTTAAATGTGCCAAAAGCAATATGATAACACGTTGTTAAAGAAAAAATTTCATTCAGAACATAATTCCGTAAATAAAGGGTTAAGCCCGGGATCCGAACTCGAGACTTATGGGTTAGTAGTCGTACGCTGAACTGTCCAACCATGTTGTTCCTTGAGACTTACTTAACTGCATAATCTCAGAGTGACCTTCTCAGCCTCCCCCCCCCCACCCACTCCCCACACGCCGATTCCCCACCCTACTACATAACAGCTAAACTGGATACAACCCCCGGTTTGTTGCAGACTTGTTACATTTTAAAAAGTCCAGGAGTGCAAAAGGTGAAGAGCTTTAGGTCTAAGTTTAAAAACTACAAACCGTCTAGTGTTGCCAAATGGCAACAAAAGCCATCAAAGAGAACCTTCGCACGGTAGCGCTAAACCACTGGCAACCCGGAAGTCGAAAGTTGATCGAAAGAACGGTGTCAAACTTGGGTGACATAAAAAAAAATTGTGACATCACAATAAATTGACATCAGAAAAGAGTGACATCACAAAGCATGGCTTTCGATCAGCTCGTCCGGTTTTTTTCCCGGCATACATCATGCGTCACACGACGCTTGGCTGACTCCGCGTCTGTTCCGGTTCTACATGGCGTATCTAGTTACCGAAACAATCCGCTCGTGATATTTCACCGGAGTGCACCGTAAACATCTTATACGGTTTTTATTCTATTTATTTTTACGGTATTTAGACAGACCAAAAAAACATGGAACCATTAGAAAATACTTTAGTTATTTGTTCATTTAAATATTCATCTCTATTTAGTCAAGCGTAACCAGATAATTTCTTGACCTTTCCAAATACACCGTCTGCTGTTGTTACTGAACAAATGCGTGTACATTTTGTGTTTACGCATGCGCACTAAGAGGATCGGCATTTTCCGTTTGCCTGGACACTAAGGGGTTAATTCAAACGAAAATGACAGCGAAAATTAAACCTGATATTTGTTTCTATCTACTGTTATAAATAGTATTTAGTAACCTTTCACGCGGGTCAGTTTCTATTGTAATTTACTCTCATACTTATATTTATAAAGA